GTCTTAAAGTATCTGATATTTTTTGTACTTAAGTATCAAAAGTAAATTTCTGACACAAAATCTACTTAAGTTTTAAAAGTAAAAGTACTGAGTAAAAGTGAGCRGTTAGATTTTCCAAAATGACATTTATTGGGAGGTGACTTCTCCAAAAAATATTATTTCTAACGGCATGCAGCTGTGATGGGTTGTGTACAAACTAATAGAGTGTCAGAATGGTGTATATTTATACTTCCCATCCAACCACAATTAAATTCACTCTGTCCAGGAGACACGATTTATCAGGATAGTATTTTTTAAGTAAAAACAACTCATAATAAAATAGGAGTAACGACTTTCTACTTCTTACTTTATTAAAAAATGTAGTGAGTAGAAAGTACAGATAATTGTGTAAAAATGTAATGAGTAAAAGTAAAAAGTACGCTGAAAAATWATTACTCAAGTAAAGCACAGATAACAAAAAATTCTACTTAAGTACAGTCACAGAGTATTTGTACTTAGTTACTTTACAGCTCTGCCTAGACCCTTAAACCAGAGGTTCTCAAACTAGGGTCCCAGGACCCCCAGGGGTCCATGAAAGGTATCTTGAGGTTCCTCAAAAAATTTCACTAAACTATTAATTTGGTTTTTATTTTTAAAAATGCACAGGGAACAATGAACTAATAAAACAAACATAATAAACTAAATAAAAAATACATTCCCATGGAATGACAGTGAATTACCCTTTAAAACAGCATGGGGTTTATAAAGGGGTCCCTGGAATTTTTTTGCCCTTATAAGGGGTCCCCAGACYSGAAAATTTTGAGAACTCCTGCCTTAAACAATATCCTGTATCTGATGAACTCACATGACTACAAGAAATTTCTCAGTGGGCCTAAGTTTCAGAGAAACTTTTGAAACTACAAAACTCATGAGAGCGCTGTCTAAATTAGGGAGACTCATCCAAYATGGCGGCGGTGCGACATGCACTTCACCCGTCATGAGCTCTCTAGCCTTTTATATGATATCTACGTGTGCTGCTCGCTCCGCAGTTAACAGAGTAGCAGAAAAGCGCGCTGCGTTTAAAAAGAACAAGAGAAAAAAGCAGCAAAGCTCCAGCTCTTCTTGTCACCATCAACAGGGAGCTGTTCTGTCATATGGTATGTGTGTGAATMMGTTTATTTTGTTTGTACCGGGCTGGTCCTTGTCTTCATAAAAGGTCGGGCTTGAGACAATAAGCTAAACAGGTCTCAGATGTTTGTTTTTACTAAAGATGATGACTAAAATGTAAATAAACCAAGTCTTTATTAACAGACAGAACAACAAAAGGCAGAACACAGAATAACTGCAGCATGAGAGAAAAAAAGAGAGAGAGGGAGAGAAATCCTACCA